ACACTGCATGGTGACTGTCACTTTCATGCTTCAATGCGATCTTCAGACCAACGTGTTGATTCCTACATCCAACACTGGGTTATCTATTTTCGGGAATTTATCTCTCTCTTCTTCCCATTTCGTAAATTTAATTTTATAAAGAGTCATTTCTGTCTCGTCACTTTTTGTGTGTATATGTGTATAAATATGTTCATATTATATATATTATAAACTGATTGTGTTTAAAAGAACGCGTGAGTTTTTCAACCAAAAGAATTCAAAGAAAATTGGGATTAAAAATGTATATGCATATATTGTCAAAGGACCGGATGACAACAGCCTCTATCCTAAAGCCAGAAAATTTTTTAGAAGAAATAAATTGAATAACAAATATATTTCTTCTTTTCTCCTCAGTAATTTTATATTTGTAAACTTAATAGCGATTAGATTTTGAAAATTAATAAGTTTTTGAATTTAATATTAAATTTTGTTAATACTTTAGTAATTATTGGTTAGAATTGAATTTTTTTTAATATTACCTGTCTATATTTTAAACATCTGAATAGCTATTATAACAAAACTCGTTGTCATTTCAAATTAATTTTCCTATATTGTTTTTTTGATTGGTCAATCTAAACTTTTGTAAATGATATTTTCCCTTTGCGAACTGACAATTTAATTAATTTGAAACTTTTAAAAAAATTTATTTTTTGTTCAACATCATCACTTGATAAGACACTTAGGGTGTTGAAACAAAATAGCTATTTTTGTAGTATTTCATAACATATTTATGTTATAATTTTTAAATAAATAATTATATATATATATATATATATATATATATATATATATATATATATAATATTTATGACTATCACATCATATCTTCTCTCCCACCTCACTTCCTCACTCTTCGTTAAATTTACGTATACTTGATGAGGTCCGTAAAAAATTGTGTGAATTTCTTTTCATTTTTTTCAGCTTTTGGAAGTAAAGTCTGATGATCCAGAACCCTGTTAAAGGGGTTATGGTGAAATAGCTTATTACATGGAATCTTAACGTGGTCTGTCTTTTATTCAAACAAATATATATATATATATATATATATATATATATATATATATATATATATATATATAAGAAAAGAAATAAAAGTAAGATATATAATCCGTGTTCTTATAGATATTTTTTATTTTTACAAAAATATTGCTCAATGTAAATTTATCTAGTATTAATTATTATAAATTAATTGATTTTCTGATATCAAATTAATTTATAATATATATATATATTTGTGTATTTAGAGCAATCCTTCTTTCATGTTTATTTCATTGAATACGACAGAAAAACCTTTTGATTTAGTTTTATATAACAAATTTCATGCAATCAATTAATATAATATATTTTTATATAATTTATCATCTGAAAAGAAAAAATTATTAGATCGCATAAAAATTGTATTAAAAAATTAAATCTTATCTGCTTGTATTCAATTTTAAAGTGCATATATATATATATATATATATATATATATATATATATATATATATATAATCGTCCTTATAATTTTCATGTTTAGCATGAAAAATACTTTTAGAAACTTTGGACAAAAGTCCACGTCTGATGATACCTTATTTGCACCCGACAACCTGTAGAATGTGTTCTTCGTGGTCAGGCGTACGAAAGCATCTCGGTCTTCCTCGGTCTCTATTTCGGGCTACCATGGCTCCTGTCTTAGCAAGGTGAGGATAAACAGCAGCAAAGATTGGATGACTTGGTTGTCTTTGGTCTGGAAACACAATCTGATACAGGCGTGCAAAACAAGTGTCCATTACCATTCGCGCGGCCGTATATAAACATATTTACCTGCTCACGATATTGATAATCCTTCTATTGTTAAACGGAACACTACTACACTCGTTAAACGTTGAAGACAGACTAGCCACAAATGTACACAAATGACAAATGTAATCTAGTCTACACGGCAGCAGAGTGCCAGCCACCACACATCAACTTTCTTTAAACTTAATAGCTCAAAAACGAAGGATTTTCGGATATATGTTAATATGGACGTTTTGGCTACTTGTTTTGACAATGTAGGAACCAAAACTGAAGTTTGTAAAAAGTATTTTTGATACAACCTGTATATATATATATATATATATATATATATATATATAATAATAAGAAAATAAGAAAATAAATTAAAAAATTAAAATCATTAGACAAATGGGTTGTAGATTAATATTCTTTCGTTTTTTTTTATTATTATTATTCCATTTAGATTCCTCGACTAAAAAAAAACTTTGACCGAAATGGCCATCATCGGGAGGAGAAATATTTCTGCTTGCTGTTAGCATGAACTACAGAAATGAATCTATATATATATATATATATATATATATATATATATATATATATATATAATAATATAATATAAAAAAAGAATCAAAATATCTATTTCATGGTTATAATTTTTTACATTGGAATCGTAATTTAAATCCAATTCATCAGACCTACAAATTCAAAAAAAAAAAAAAATATAAATATTATAAATATTAAACTTTTTAGTGAGAGGTATGTGTAGACCTGGGAAACAAATGTATTGGAAAATGCACAATAAATATACTAGAGAGAGGGGATAACATATTTAAGAAGAACAGGATCCCTTAATGTGAAAATGGGGATTAAAATTTAACGGAGAGAAAAATTAAAGAGAGGAGTTAAATAACGGTTTAAATGAGTGAGATACAGATAAATATGAATTATTTTTCGATGCATAATTCGCTACCGATTCGCTGACCTAAAATTAAAATAAAAAAAAAAAAAACAGACACCGGAAAAGAGTGGTTACATTTATGGTGACACTACGCACAAAAAAACGATATGATCCAGTTAAAATCCAGAAGTTGAACGAAATATATATATGTGTGTGTGTGTGTGTGTGTGTGTGTGTGTTTCTTATCTCCTGAATGTCTATTCATGTTACTTTAGTTTTCTTAACTCCTACCTTTCCTCCTTGAACCCCCCCCACAACCAGCAAGGCTCAATACAAATTGTCTCAGGTGAATTAATAAAGTCTGTCGAATCTTTCACATATCTAGGAAGTGAGGTACATTTTATTGAAGCGGAAATGAAAATTCGCATAGCTAAAACTTAGGCCGTCTTGAGTAAAATGTATGTCGTCTGGAAATCTGATCTACCAGACAACCTCAAGCGGAGATTCTTTCTGAGCCACTGTAGAGGCGGTGTTTATGTATGCTACCATTGCCTAAGCTTGATTGAACCTACGTTCCGATGCTGAGAGCTCTACTTAATATCTCTAACATCCAACTAAATCACAGCTGTATGAACCCTTTCCTGATATTTCTACAATCTTACGAGAACACAGAATGCGCTTTGCGGACCACTGCTGACGAACAAAACAAGCGAATGGTCTACAGTTCTGGACACGTAGCCATGGAGTTAGACGGGTTGGGTTGTCCAGCAACCACCTTCATTGACCAGCTTTGTCATGACACAGAATGCCACTCTCATGTCCTTGATACAAGGCCGTGATAGTTAGCGTAATAGACGCATGAATGCCCGAGCTAAATCGATCAAATAAAAAAAAAACAAATTCTACACTTCATGTAGGCTTTTCGGTAAAACGTAACTTTCCCAACGTCTCAAGAGGAGATAGACCCAAAGATCAATGATCTATCGCTGAAATAACCCACTCCCTTCCCACAAAAAAAAGAGGATTATATAAAAATCCTTCCATAATAAACTAGCGAAAATGATTATGTGACTTACCAATCCAACCACCCACGAATTCTGTACCAACTTGACATGTATTGACAAGCCATAGACTTCATTAAACAATGTCACCATAGAAACGTATTCTCTTTTAAAATTGACGGTCATGGAACCCGAAAGTGAAAAGGATTCAGAAAAAAGTAGACTGGAGGGTCTAACACTATAAAATATATTGTAAAATAATTATATTTGATCTCAGACGAAATATCGGAATTTTATAGCCGATAGTGACATGAGAAAATCAACAAATTACTTTTCTAAAGAGAGTTGATCTGTAATTCAAATTGCGGAAGACGCTGTTGATAATGTAACAACGTATCAAATTGATTAATTCTAAACTGTTTATTTCATTTTCTTTGTTATGGCTTTTTTTTTCTGTTTCTGGTTCTCTAATATATTTCGATATTTCCTGTAGTATGTATCCTGTTTTATAATATATTTTCTTATAATATGTATCTTGTTTTATAATATATTTCCTGGAATATGTATCTTGTTTTAAATTATATTTCCTGGAATATGTATCTTGTTTTATAATATATTTCCTGGAATATGTTCTTGTTTCATATTTTCTTGGAATATGTATCTTGTTCTATAATATATTTTCTTGTAAAATGTATCTTGTTTTATAATATATTTTCTTGTGATATGTATCTTGTTTTATAATATATTTCCTGTAATATGTATCTTGTTCCGTAAGATATTTTCTTGTAATATTTATCTTGTCCTATAATATATTTTCCTTTTCTTTTTCCTTATACTTTTTCGTAATATGTTTCTGTGATATATTCGCTTTTTGCTTCTATAATATTTTCTTCTCTAATTTCACTGGTGCAACTCACTTTCGTTTTCTTGCTTGTGGATTTCACCCCCGGCTTCTTCCCTGTGTAACTCACCCCCGGCTTCTTGCTTGTGGAACTCACCCCAAAATCTTCCTTGTGTAACTCACCATCGTTTTCTTGTTTGTGATCTCACCCCATTCTTGCTTGTGTAACTCACCCCAAATTCTTCCTTGTGTAACTCACCCCTATTTTCTTGCTTGTATCCAGTCCCCGGCTTCTTCCTTTATGTAACTCATATCGGTTTCTTCCAGTGTGTAACTCACCACGGCTTCTTCCTTGTGTAATCATAAAAATAAAACCCCCCCGGCTTTCTTCCTAAAATGTTGAATCTTCCCTTTGAAAAAAAAAAGGTTGTTTTAAAAAAAACTCACCCCAATAATCTTCATGTGTAATCACCATCGAAAAATTCCTTGTGTAACCCCCCGGATTGCTTGTGAATCACCCCAGCTTCTTCCTTGTGTAACTCACTTTCGTTTTCTTGCTTGTGGATCTCACCCCCGGCTTCTTGCTTGTGTAACTCACCCTCGGCTTCTTCCTTGTGTAACTCACCCCCGGCTTCTTATTTATTTAACTTCATGCCATAAATCTTCCTTGTGGAACTCACCCCCTTCTGTAATAAAATTGTATTACTCTTTTCAATTCTTCCTTGTTAACTCACCCCCGGCTTTTCCTTGTGGAACTCCCCCGGCTTCTTCCTTGAATAACTCCCCCCATTCTTCTATTTTATGGAACTCACCCTAGCTTCTTCACTTGTGTGTAACTCACCCCTTTTTTTCTTGCCTGTGGAACTCACCCCCGGCTTCTTCCTTGTGTAACTCACCATCGGCTTCTTCCTCATGTGGAACTCACCCCCAGCTTCTTCCTTGTGTAACTCACTTTCGTTTTCTTGCTTGTACGATCCCCGGCTCCCATACTGGCTTCTTGCTTGTGTAACTCACCCCATGCTTCTTCCCTTGAGATAACTCACCCCAGCTTCTTCCTTGTGGAACTCACCCCCGGCTTCTTCCTTGTGTAACTCACCCCCGGCTTCTTGCTTGTGGAACTCACCCCTATCTTCTTCCTTGTAACTCCAAGCAAAGAAAATAATTGTTTATCTCAATTCTGGGCTTCTTGCTTGTGTAACTTCCTCATTTCTTCCTTAAACTTGAATATGGCTTCTTATTGGGGAATGGAACTCACAATTTCAGCTTCTTCCTTGTGTAACTCACCCCAGCTTCTTGTTGTGTAACTCATTTCCGGCTTTTTTTTACTTTTTTTCTGTATTGGGATCACCCCGTATAGAAACTTTCCTTGTGTAACTCACCCCGGCTTCTTGCTCAAATTTGGAACTCACCCCAGCTTCTTGCTTGTAAACTCAAGAAAGCTTCTTCCTTGTGGAACTCACCCCAAGCTTCTTCCTTAATGTAACCCCCAAATCTTGAATGTGAACTCAAAATGGCTTCTTACTTGTGTAACTCACCCCCAAATTCTTGTCCTTGGAACTCACCCCCTTGCTTCTTCCTTTTGTAACTCACCCCCATCTTTTCTTGCTTGTGGGACTCAGTCCGGCTTCTTCCTTTAAAATCATAAACTCATTTTCGTTTTCTTGCTTGTGGATCTCACCCCGGCTTCTTGAACTTGTAACTCACCCTCAAAATATCCTTGTGTAACTCACCCCCCAGATTCTTACTTGTGGAACTCAAATGAAGCTTCTTCCTTGTGTAACTCACCCTCATATCTTCTTCCTTGTGTAACTCACCCTCGGCTTCTTCCTTGTGTAATTCACCCCCGGCTTCTTGCTTGTGGAACTCAAAACCTGGCTTCTTGCTTGTGGAACTCACCCCCTGGCTTCTTGTTTGGGATCTCACCCCATTTTCTTCCTTGTGGAACTCACCCCCGGCTTCTTGCTTGTGGAACTCACCCCCGGCTTCTTCCTTGTGTTACTCACCCCCGGCTTCTTGCTTGTGGAACTCACTTCCGTTTTCTTGCTTCTGCAACTCACTTTCGTTTTCTTGCTTCTGCAACTCACCCCCGGCTTCTTGCTTGTGTAACTCACCCCCGGCTTCTTCCTTGTGGAACTCACCCTCGGCTTCTTGCTTGTCTAACTCACTTCTGTTTTCTTGCTTGTGGAACTCACCTTCGGCTCCTTTTCAAACATGTAAAAAGCAATGTAAAACGTTGTCTTCTGTCTTCTCAATTGTTTTTATTGTTCTCACTCCTTAATAGTGTTCTTTTTCTCATATTTTCTCAAACTCAGTAACCCCTTGCATCTTAGTGGCTTTATTGCCTTGCTTAGAGTGAAATTATACAAAAATATATAGAGAGAGTCTCTTTTTTCTTCGTCTTATGAAATACAATATATTTTCCATTTCTTTTTCGTTTACTTTTTCTATAATATATATTTTATTCTTCTACTTCTGTAATATGTTCCCCTTCTTCTTCTGTAATATATTTTTTCTTTTCTATAATATATTTTCCAGCTGTCTTCTTCTTTTATCTTCATCTTCTGTAATATATACTTCCTTCTTTTTCTTCTTCTTATTCTTCTGTAGTATATTATACTTTTTCGCTTCTTCGTCTTTTGTACTCTATTCTCTCTTTTCATTTCTTCTCTTATATATTTTATTGTTTTCCACGTGATCATATTATTAAAAAATATTCATTCATTTCATTCAGACAGGTGCTTTGTATCGTGTTTAAGCGGATCTAACCCAAGCCACGTAATCACACTCCACAACATTTGGAATGTAGCACCAGCCCCTCAAATGTATCATTGACAGCCCGGGTTTATCAAACGCCTACATATATCGAACGCGGATCCATAGTACCAAGCAGCACATTGCCAGTTAGCCAGGGTCCAATTAGCAACATCATGGGCCCTTAATCATCCTCTAAATAGTTCATGTTTAGCAGTAAGGCTTCTATCAATTATTGCCGGTATATTGATGGCTGTCAAATATCCCCCTCATTTCAGAAATAGGATATCCCATCAGTCTGGCATCCATTCTCATGCCAGAGAAAATAAAGATAAAAACTGGCCAGTCCATGGATACTTTTTATTATACTGTTTCTCGATCTAAGCTTCCGGTTCACGTGAACCATCACCAGAGTGGTTATATGAACATTACAACAGAGATGTTCACCATCAAAGATGACATCCTCTTCTGTTGACATAGAAGTTTGTTATGAGACCATAAGATTAGATCAATGAATAGCCCAATAAAGAAATATCCAAATGTTGGACAGTTTTTTGTCTTTATTTTCTCCCGAAACTAATGACTGAATCTTAGAACGGCTAATGATCAAACATAATAGATATTCGTTGTCTGTTACATTTTAACAACAAATGTTTAATGATCTGCTTCTCCTGTATACTATATATATATATATATATATATATATATATATATATATGTGTGTGTGTGTGTGTGTGTGTGTGTGTATATATATATAATATATAAGAAATAGCTGCATGTATGTTCATATGTACAAATATATATACAAAAATCTCTATAGTGTCTATATGCGGAGTATATATATATATATATATATATATATATATATATATATATCGATGGGCCTGTATATGTATAGATATATTACACTGTACAAGTATGTAAAATATTAAGAAAAAAAAAACCACTCTAATATATGTATATATCTGTGTGGCTGGGCATACATGTACATGTGTGTAATATATATATATATATATATATATATATATATATATATATATATATATATATATATATATATATATCCACGTATGATGAGAACGAATACAGGACAATTTCAACGTTCATATATTTAATTTGAAAGAGAGATCAATACAGAGTATAGCAATATTATTTACTTTAGGATATTAAAACAACATGTAAAAAGTTATATGTATGTATCACAGCTCATCATTGTGGCTAGATATCCGGTTGCCTCTAGCTAGGACCGAAACCCGGCTGAATTTGAGTCAATCGGAGAATCTACTCCTAAGTCGTTGGCGCACGGCAGGGATGAAGGTGAATTTAAGCGTATTTACTTTTAGATAAACACACCAGTGACCGAGAGTACTCGACTCGTTTTATAGAAGAGTATTGCATTAGTAGCAGTAGTAGTCAGTGTTTACATATTCACACTTTCTCCATTTTAACCTGAGGAAGATGGCGGAACACGTCGTTATATCTTTTCCATTTTGTCTCATCATATTAACTTTTGTTTTGGATACTATTAGACATCCTACAAATACACATATATGTATGTACTAGCAGCATGTCCCGGCGTTTCCCGTGCTTGATTCAAAAATCGTACGACTCATACAGCAATCGCTATCACTTGACTTAAAATATTTTTGCACTTCCTTGCCTTTAAAGGAGTGCCCTTTGCCGTGCTGATGCTGATGTTGCTACATGCCTTACTTCTTGCCTATCTCACACTGCGAATTTTTCTCTGAGCTCTATACTAAACATTAAATCTGTTACGAAAAAAGAACTAAACAAAATGAACGCAAAACGATCAGCTTTAAAAAAGGACACATAACTGGAAAAACTGAATGAAAAAAAGAATGTTAACAACAAATTTTTCACCCAACCCAGTTCTGCGGAATCAGAATCAACGTTGAGTTTAAGCAAGCGAATGAGCCAATTGGAGTAAAAGCGCCATGCAGATTTATATTTTTTTCCACTTGTGATGAATGCAGCTATCGATTTTTTTTGCATGCTAGTTAACATTCGTGTCAGTCAGCTGTTGGCTCTCACGCTGGCCAATACAATCTTCCTGCCTATTCGTGGCAGCCAGCTATAGGCTCTCACGCTGGCCAGTTCAAAATGGCCGCAAACTACATGAAAACTGCCGTAGAAGCATGAAAAAATCGATTATTTCCACTATCGATGGGAATTGGGAAATGCAAGGTCGGTCTTGGCCTTCCCACTAACTTGGAGCATGTGCATGTAAATTTTGGTCCAAATCCGTCGAAAATTGCGGCCGTGCATCCGTTACACACACACACACACATCCTGCCTTTTATAGATAGAGATATGGTGTGGTGATCGTGTATGGCATGAAACTGCAAGTAACCATGCAGTGTTGATACCACTGTCGGCATAGTTTATATAATAAACACTTTACTTTTTCTCCCTTAAATATAGAAACTTTAAATAATACGTGTAGCTGTCATGGTGCCTACCTAGACCGACAGAATGAACGCTATATATATATATATATATATATATATTTTTATTAAAGACATTTTTTTTATGTTTAACGTTGTTATTTTATAGATACAAGTATTTAAGCAAATTTATGATAAACAGTATTAAATAACATTTACCGGCCTGAATGTCCGAGAAATTTTCATAGAAAATATTCGTTCTTTGACAGGATTCGAACCTGCATCCTATACGAACCGTCATATACGCTGACGTGCCTTACCTCTAGGCTACAAAGAACCGTTCAATAGACAAGGTCGAATTTACTGCTTTTATAAACTCAATCTTCCATGAATCTCGTACATTCATAAACTGCTCTGGCGTATCGAATGTAAACAAATGACGTCATATATTAAGAAATTTTAAGGTCCGACAATTTATTTATTAAAGACATTTTTTTTTCTATAAAAATAACAATAGTTATGAATGTACGAGATTTATCTATAAAATAACAACGTTAAAAACAAAAAAAATGTCTTTAATAAATAAATTGTCGGACCTTGTCCATTTCTTAATATATATATATATATATATATATATATATATACTAAATCTCAAGAGAGACGAACGGTATTTTGAGACGGTATTGAATCGAGTCGAGCTGATAGTAATTCATTCCAAACCAGTCTGACATAATATACTAACACCTTCCACTTCTTGTATTATTTCTTGTGTCATATATTCTTTGTTATTTCTACTCTGGTGTTTCGTGTTGTTCTTCCATGGTCCTAACTGTAGCGTGTCTGTTATTTTTGCTTTTAAAATTCATTATAGGAATTTAAAGTTAATGTCAGGGGAAATGAAGTTCTATAATATATTCATTGACAACTTGAAATAGCCACGAAATTATAGGGACCCATTATCGATTTTATTTTGAATAGTTTTTTAAAGTCGGGCTTATTTATTCTCATCTCGTGCTAAGAAAAAGTATATTTTGCGTCCAGTACATTTTGCTCCATCTGATAAGCAAATTGTTCTTTTCTTTATTATGGGTTTCGAAAATGATTGAATAAATAAATAAATAAAACTAAAAAAAAAAAAGTAAAGAGAACAGGCAAGATTAACTATAGACAGCAGGAAATGCCCCGACCTTCTCTTTAAATTACAGTTATTTTTCAATTCAATTTACATTTTTAATTCTCAGCTGAGAGTGAAGAGGAACACCCGGAGATTTCCTTTTAGCTTCTCACGAATGTCATTAATATTAGAAGGATTTTATTTTCGAAACAATGGAATCGTATTTGTCACTTGTAAAATCGATTTTTGAACCTTCTCATCCCTTCTCTACAAAAAGAAATGAATTAAGAAAAAGAAAACTCTAAGAAAAGAAAATCCCAAACGAAATACATGTTCATGACGGTGGATTCAACGCCTGTGATAGATTTTACTTTAAATAAAACTTACTGATTAAATTTATTGATTTAATTTGTACCTGCTAATAAAAAAAGTTTTGTAATTGTATTTTGTAGTTTTTTTCTTGTTTAAATTGGTTGCATATAGGCCTTTCCGAAACTAGTTTTCGAAAGTTCTTTGCTCTTCAATAACAAGAGTAACATTAATAAAAAAATAAAATAAAATGACGTAACTTTTCCACTATTTTTCAACAGTTATGAGGAGAGCGCGATTTAAGTAAAGAAAAAAATATCTTTATTTTTCTTGTCTTAAATCTAATAATAATAATAATAATAATAACAATAATAAATCGTCATATTAATAAATCCACAATCTCATTGGGTAAGGGTGCTCTTGGATCTTCTTCGAGACTAGTCCTAAAGCTGGTAACCTGAACATAATTACCCACATATAGCCAAAGTTTTAAACGCATTCGACCATATTTCAATGAATACAAATAATATTTCATACCGGATCGGCTGTCAACCGACAACAAATTTTTTCGTCCCTCAGAGAGGAACCAGTCTGAGGACGAAAAGTCTTGTCACTAGAACAAACTCTTTCAATACGAAGAGACACTAGGTTACCAAACCCTGATTATTGCCAACTTTGGACCAAGTGACTCAATACCAAATCGACTAATAAAAAGTAAACGAACGAAATGGAGCCGCGAAGAGTATCGACAAGTCATGACATCCTTCATCACTGCACTCGGAAACCCAGCAAAGAACACCACCAATCAAACATACCAAATATGGAGAATTACGGTGGGAAGACAAGTACAGCCCACACTTCACGAAGGGCTTTATCTATGTAATTTTTTTTTTTTTTTTTCAGTGAAAGTGTCATGACGCCATTTCTAACCTTAGGTCCCTAAAAATGACCCGGAAAGAAATGTGTAAACGCCAGAAATCAAAGAAAATAAAAATAACAATAATAATAACGATGATGACGATGATGATGATGGTAATGATGATGAACCAAATATGGAGATCGAACATCACCGTCATTAAAGAAAAAAAAGAAAAAAATTTTATGAAAATGAAAAAA